AAACTCAAAGCTTTAAGTAGTTAGTGAGATTATAGTGCCAAAAGAAGGTGGGAATACTGTCTTATTAAATAGAATTTCTATATTGACAACTGGTCATTGTTTTCCAAACTGCTGTAACTATTTTCATGCACTGAATATAACAAAATATTCAAGTTAAACTTGGCATGCCTTGGGGAAAAACTTAATAATGGCATAATTGCAAAGGTATAATTATGGCAGAACATTGGGAAGAATTTCACCTTTCATTGCTAAAAGTAATAAAGCCAATATATAATTTCGTCTATATTAACTGGTATCCATGGGAGTTTGGTCAAAACAATAAGTGGTATCTTGGGAATAAAGTCCATTCTTAGCCTGTCTATTATTATTTTTTTATTAAAAAGTAAGAGATGAATGCTGAAGAAGTATTTTATGTCTCATCACAATCTGTTTACAGGACACAGCATTTGCAAAAAATCCCCCCCTTCTTTTGGTAAGATGATTTTTCATATAGATTTATGTAATATCAAAGTAGAGTTCACTAAAAAATATTTATGTGTAAATAATGGGTGAATAAGGACTCACACTTGTTATTAATACAACTTTGTTTTCACCTAGAAGCATAATCAAAATAGATAACACTATTTAGAGCATTTACTACTTGCCCCCACTAGGTTAATTGCTCCTGTTGCAAAATCCTGTCTAATTCTCATATTTTATACACATATATACACAGGCATAAGATATATATTGATTAATAATCTGGATATATAATGAAACATATGGAAAAGTAAAATTCAGTTGATGAGATAAAGATAAAATAACTAGTCCCTAGGAGTTAGGTATAAAGTTTATTCATGTTTGTAAATGAGGGAACTAAAGATACATGTGGTTAGATAAATTGTGGAGGAATTTATATAACTTCTTGGAAAGATTTTCTATAGAAATTAGTGATATGAGTCTGCTAAATGTATATAAATTGAATTTATTACATTTAAAAATGATCATTATAACAATATGGTTACTAACAATGTACAACTCAACTACTGCTCATATAGACTTTCATAACTTTAAGGAAAATTGTGTTTTTACTAACATTCAGTAATGACTAAGCTAAAAACTTGAAATCATAATTTGTTATATTCCATTTTTTTCTAAGACAAAAGTGAAAGCTAGCAAATTAGAAGTCAGAGATAATTATGATAGCATTAATGATGGAAACCCTGTAATTTTATTTTTTTTCTTGCCATAGAACACAGTAAGCTCTTTAAAATTCATGCCTTAAAACAGAATTTTATGCCCATTTTTTCATGTGACTATGTAACATTGAGGGCTGCAGTTTCAGGTTCGTGAAATAGAAGCAGCGTAGTCTTTAAAAGTCAGATGATTGGGAACAAATCTTATGTAGTATTAACAAAGGATTATGTAGAGAATACAGGCAAAAATGTATTTTTTTAAGTTATTGGAACACAGAATGTATTGCATTTTTTCTGTCTTAATATAAGTAGAAATTTAAGAATCAATGTACATTAAATTGCAATACAGATTGCCAAAATAAAGAATTACTATCTAAACACTGGTAAAAAGCCATTTCTCTGTTGGCAGAGGTAGAAAATGATGACATTTTTCTCTTGGTTCATTGGCAGCTTTGTTCAGCTGAAAATATGTATTGGAGTTTGTGAATAAATATCATTTGTGTTTCCAAACAGGTATATTCTTTTTTTAAAGTATATTTTTTATTTATTTTAAAGAGGAAGGGAGAGGGAGAGGGAGATGGAAACATCAAAGATGAAAGAGAATCATTGATCGGCTGCCTCCCATGCCCCACACTGGGGATCAAGCCCACAACCTGAGCATGTGCCCTTGCCCAGAATTGAACCCGGGACCTTTCAGCCTGCAAGCCGATGCTCTATCCACTGAGCAAAACCAGCTAGGGCCAAACAGGTACATTCTTAACACCAGTGTTTTGGACAGCCATAGGTAGTCTTTTGTAAGAAACAGTCTGCATGATGAAAGGAAACTGGGCTGAATGAGATAATTATTATTCCAAACTGGGTTCTGTCACATACTAGGTGTGTGACTTTGCACAAGTCACTTAGCCACTCTGAGCCTCTAGTTTCATATCAAAAGATTGCAGTAATGAAAGTAATAATCTTATATGATTCTTAGATTGATACATGTCAATAGAAATATGGGGTCCTGAGTATGCAAAATTAAAAATAGTGTTCATTCATCCATCTAACCATTCATCCTTTAAAACATATATGTATGTATTGTTGTCAGACAAAGGGCAAATTGTTTCAGATGTAGCTGTTGGTCAGCTCACAATCTCTTTAATACTTTACAGGTCACCAAAGAGATCTAAGAAATTACAAATGGAGATTATTTTCCTTATCCCCACTGCATTTAGCTTTCCTAAATGTTGTTTATATAAATTGAATAGTTCAGATTTGGATAAAATTGACAACATATATTTTTAGATAGTTGCTAAGTTCATCATGTTAAGATTATCCTATATAATAAAAGGGTAATATGCAAATTGACCCTAAGGGCAGAACAACTGGTCGCTATGACGCGCACTGACCACCAGGGGGCAGACGCTCAATGCAGGAGCTGCCCCCTGGTGGTCAGTGCGCTCCCACAGGGGGAGTTCCACTCAGCCACAAGCTGGCTAATGGCTGCGAGCACAGCAGCAGTGGCGGCAGCCTCTCCTGCCTCCATGGCAGCACTAAGGCTGTCTGACTGTGGCTTAGGCCCGCTCCCCCGAGCCTAAGCCCTCAGTCAGATATCCCCTGAGGGTTCCTGGGCTGCCAGAGGGACGTCTGACTGCCAGCTTAGGCCCGTTCCCCCAGGGAGCAGGCCTAAGCTGGCAGATGGACATCCCCTGAGGGCTCCCAGGCTGCCAGAGGGCACAGGTGGGCTGAGGGACCCCCCCTCCAGTGCACAAATTTTCATGCTCCAGGCCTCTAGTGTATATATATTTTATCATTGTTTTATTTTCAATTACAGTTGACATATATAATTATATTAGTTTCAGATGTACACCCCAGTGATTAGATATTACATAACTTACTAAGTGATCATCCTGATAAATCTCACACCCATCAGACACCTTACTTATTATTGATTATATTCCCTATGCTATACTCTACATCCCAATGGCTATTCTGTAACAAATAATTTGTACTACTCAATTCCTTCACTTTTTTACCCATATATTGATTTGTACTGCATATTATTAGGAAATCTTGTCTAGGTTTATTCTTATAGGCAGTAAAGCTCAAGGGTTTTCCTCTTACCTTCCATTGTTTGCCTCAAATAAATGATCCTAAGTCAGAGTGCCGTTTCCTTGTGGGATGTGCCCACAAGGAAACGGAATCTACCATTTCACTTCATCAAATTGTGTTTCTTCGCCTTTCACTGTGTTTGTAAACTGTAACAACTGTAATAAGATACTGTGTTTGGCTTTGGCTTTTGGCAAGCATCTGTTCAGTGTCAGAGTCAAATTTAGAAACATATATATAGCCAGCCGGTCATCTTTTCACAAACTGGTTTGTTATAAATTTCTCTAGCAGAGCAACATTTGTTGGAGAATTTTTCAACATAAAATAATATAAAGGTATGTGTCTGATCCCTCTAAAAAACCTTGGCATTTAAACAAAATATAAAGCTGGATTATGTAAGGACTTTATTGCCAATAGTCATATTACATAAAGCTTTGCATGTTATGAAAACTTACGTGTATTCTCCAGTGAAATTGCTCTCTATGCTTTATAATAGCATTTTAATGGACTGAGAAAGTTATGCTATTAAATTTTAAATTCTTTAAATTATAAGTTGTTAAAATATTTAATATCCTTGGAGTCCTGATTTTAGCTTACATAATTTATAGCTACTTTTATGCATAATATTAATGAAAAAATCTTGATTTATTAAATCAGGTATATGAATCACTGCACCTAATTTTACAGAGCTTTCTGTACTTGTGCTGAAGTGAGAAAATTTTATATATTTGACAATTGTGCTTGAGTATTTCTGATTAATGAGGCTCTTAGAGCTAAGGCTGTTTATGAGATGCATTTGAAATGTATTGCAAGTATTATTCCACAAATTACTATAACTATATAGATTACTCCTAGTGATTTTAAAATTTACTATTTTGAAATGAATAGTTTTTCAAAGAAAAGCAAAGATTAAAATGTTGAATTGATTAACCACATCTGTCCAATTGAAAAGATTCTCTACTCCATTCTCTAATTTTCATCTAAAGAGCCATCATTACTTTGCTCTTACTTTCTTCCCCTACCTTTTCCTCCTCTCAAATCTTTCTTCTTCCCTCTGATATGCCTATTTGTTAGATCTAAATCAAGATCATGTACTCCCTTCTCTCTCCAAAGTGAGAAGAAACTATGTAGAGAGTTTATAGGAAGACAGACTGTTTTCTTAGCAGAATTGAGCCTTTCCCCTCTGACTCAGCCAGAAGGGAGCGGAGAGGCTGTTAGCACAGGAAAAAATAAATATTATTATTATTGAAAAAGCAAGTATTATTATCAGCCATTTGCTTTTCGACTTTGCAACAATAATATATATATATGCCTAAATGTAAAACTTTTAAACGTAAATTATTACTTATAAGTAATAATTGAAATAAGGAACTGACATTGTTTAAAAGAAAACCTTTAGATGTGTACCAAGTCTTAGGCTTTTTCTCTTAAACTGCTGAGAAGAAGGTATTTGGGGGGAAATGTTAGCTTTTACAGATCAATTAACATCAATTTAGGCAAAGTCATAGTCCTGGTGAATGAAAACTTCAGAAAAGTTCATTGCAGATACATGTTTTGTAAATGACTTTTTAGAACACATTTCCGTATCCTTCCCCCAATACTCAATCTATCCCATGCAAAGAATATAGTGTTCTCTGGTAAGAACCCATTTGTCATCACATGTCAGTCTTTATAATATCCCAAAAGATGTTTTATTGACTTGTAAAATTTGCGGTAAAAAATATTCTTATTTTTCAGGATGTCAAACTTGGGACAATTTGACTCTGATTTTTACCAATCTAATTATACCATTGAGAATCAGGAGCAGAGTTGTAATGACTCCAATGCCTATGGAAATCTTTATGGATCCGGAGAGTAAGTACCTTATTTTGAAAAAATATGTTATAATTTTAGAAGTAATAATATTATGGCAGGTAGGGAAGTTTCCTTAGAGGAAGCAAAAGCATGTTTTTGTAAAATGCCCAAGAAGAAATGTGAAGAAAGGGGAGAGAAATGAATTCAGTTCTCCAAGAATCCCCTTGATCACCTCACACCCATTTATAGCTGAATGGCTTGACTCTCTTTTCAAAATAGAACTTAATAGGGAGCCTGAATATAGGGACTGTCTTTTCTGTGACACTGCTTAAAAAACATATTTTATTCAATTTAATTAATATTTATTGGGTGCCTGCTGTGTGTCAGGAGTAAAAAAAAGGGCACTATAAACCCAAAGATAAAGGAGAAATTCATAATCTCTTACCTCAGTGTGAAAATTCCTAAACGGAACCAAGATAAACATATTTCAGAATGTGTTAGTAATTTGAGTTGGCAGTTCAGCTTCAGTTGAAATAAATAAAAATGATTAAAAATTTAGTATTTATCCTTTACCAGTGCCCAAAATGAGGATTTAGAGTGAGAAGAATTTGGTTCAAGTTCTGGCTCTTGCATTTGTTCTTTGTGACCTTGGGAAAGACTTGACTTCCCTGACTGGTGTCTTAACTGAGAAATGAGGACATTAATAATACCCACTTCATGAAATTATCATGAAGAATATTTGTGATAATGTGTAGGAAAGTAGACGTTTAAGTAAAACCACTATATAAATGTTATTTACTTACATAATTATTAGAGGCCTGGTGCACGGATTCATGCACTCGGCATGGCCTGTGGGAACTGGGCTGAAACTGGCAGTCCAATGCCACCTACCACTCCTGCCTGCCGCTCCTGCTCATCTCGGCCTGGCCCTGCTGCACCTGCTGTGGGCTCCTGCCCAGTCAGTCCCGATCAGGAGAGGCTTGCATCTGGCGCCTGTCTGTCAGCTGAGCAGCACTCCTGCTGTGGGAGTGCACTGACCACCAGGGGGCAGCTCCTGTGTTAAGCATCTGCCCCTTGGTGGTCAGTGCATGTCATAGCGACCGGTCTACCAGTCGTTCAGTCGCTTAGGCTTTTATATATATAGACTAGAGGCCTGGTGCACAAAAATTTGTGCACTC